TTTAAATCTAGGGAATGTTCAAATGTGCAAACTCACAAAAGACATACACAGCTGGGACTTCCTCCGGCCTTTTTCCTTCCCTCACAAGATGACTGGCAGCTTCTTGGAAGAAAAAACATGTTCGTTCATTGTCCCCACAGTGCCTTCATTGTAGAAAAGGCTCCCCTGTCCCTCCCCCCCTTTTTTTGGCAAATGTTCTTGCTGAATTGGAGTACAGAAGCAAGTTCAAATGTGAAATTGAATATTTTAACCTTTCTATATGATGTTTCACAAGAACTCTTTCTTCACAAGCCTCTTGATTATTGCCTAGAAATAGGAAAACCTCATTTTGCTCCAGTCCCTACTTGTTGTCTAAAGTCTGGTTGATTTCATTGTTCACACATCAGCCAAATCGTTTGTCTTGGTTGAAATTAGCAGAATGAGTTTTTTGAAAAAGTGGTCTTCTCTAGAGGTAGTGGTGTACTTCTTTAAGTAGCCAAAAATTGCTTCAAGTTTTCTATGACCAGTTTCTATTTCAAGTACTAAGGAAGGATTGTTTTATTTTCATTATCTAACTTTACATAGGAATCATGGTTTTAAAGTAATAAATGATCAAAAAAAATGGGTACATTCTTACTAGAAGATAAACCATATTTCATCTTATTAAAATATTCCCTAGTATGAAATGTGTCAATTTTATGTTGTTTTCATATTCTTAGGCATTCTTGATTGTGTGCTACCTTGTTTTCTGTTGAGTAAATGTATTTGGGGGCACAAACATATATTTATATTAGACTAAGAAAGGACTGTTTTGTGGCATTCAAGAACTTACAAGCAAGTGTATATTAATGCATACAAAGCAGTTCTTTATATTTTATTTGACAGCTATTGTAGCTTATTTGGTGGATGAGCCAGCAATGGACAGTCTGCCTCTCTGTCAATCCCTCTCCCCATCTCTCTCTGATGTCCTGTCAAATACATATTTTAAAAATGTACAGTAGCCAGGGCTGGGCCAAGCTGTGGTCAGCTGCCAGGAATTGCACGTTGGTGTGGTACATGGGGGTCAAGAGCCTAAATATTTGAGACATCATCCTGCTGCCTTCATAGGCATATTAGAAAGTTGAGTCAGAAGAATAATAGGTGAGACACAAAGTGCATCTAGATGACAGCTTCATCATCAGTAATGAACTCCCTGATCTAGAACAAGAAACACTGTAAATTCCTAAATATAATTGACAAACTGCCCCAAGTTTGCTTACTGTGAAACTCTTTATGCATCCTTTAAGTTTTTACGGACAGCTTATGTTCAGGGTTCCACTCAATAAATTCAAGCTTCTATGTGATCTTAACTCACTAAAATTTGAGAACAAATAATGTATTAAAATAACTTGGGAACCAGGAAATACAGAAGGAATTTATTTTTTATTTTTTTAAGATCTTTTTTTTTTTTTTATTGGAAAGGTGGATATACAGAGAGGAGAGACAGAGAGGAAGATCTTCCGTCCGATGATTCACTCCCCAAGTGAGCGCAATGGCCGGTGCTATGCCGATCCGAAGCCAGGAGCCTCTTCCGGGTCTCCCACGCGGGTGCAGGGTCCCAAAGCTTTGGGCCGTCCTCTGCTGCTTTCCCGGGCCACAGGCAGGGAGCTGGATGGGAAGTGGGGCTGCCGGGATTAGAACCGGCACCCATATGGAATCCTGGGCGTGCAAGGCGAGAACCTTAACCACTGCGCCACTGCGCCGGGCCCCATACAGAGGGAATTTAAATGATAATTAAGAAACAGATATACATACAGATATATATATATATAAAAATCTCAACATAAGAGTAATTCATGCTTGATTTCCAAGGCTAACACACGTAAATATCTGACTACATTAAGGTTACATACCAATAATATTGCTGATAATAATAACTAAGTTTGTTGAGAGACTATCATATCAACAAATATATGAGCTCATTAAAAACAAAATATGATCGTAATTTTGCCATCCAGTAGAATTCAGTAAACACTCTTTATTATCTACTTGAGTGTTAATTTGAAACTGGAAATAAAGGAATGAAGGGCTATGTCTGAACTGCTAGAGGCTCAGTGGACTCGCCAGTTATTCAGGGTTAGCCTCCTGTGGAAAAAAAAATATAAGCAGCCTATACTTTTCTAGGAGATGAAGCTTTGAAAAAGTATATCCTTTGTAAATTGGAGCCTTTCCTGCAGAGGGGTATAGCCAGGGGTTTGGTGTTCAGAAATGGAAAGAGGATGAAGAGGAATTCGAGTCACACAGTACCCTTACATTCCAGGCTAAAGGTCACTGGCAAAACTAATGTACTACTCTTTGGAGCTTTTTCATTATCTGCTTTCAGTGCACCTTGTATAAGAACATGTTTTTTTCTCTGTGTATGAAAAAAAAAAACGGTAGCTCAAATGATCTTTAGTATACTGTCCTCTCAATGCACCCTTCCATTGATATAGTGATATTATAGAATATTGTTTTCATCTTATGCTTAATAATGGAATCATGCTTGGCATATCAAATGCATTAATTATATCTGAATGAAAGTATATAAACTGAAATGACTAGTTTTAAGGGAAAGCTAGAGCCCATTTTTTCCACATCTATCAAAAAAGTTTTCTTTGAACTGTATTTAACAGTAACACAACTGAAAGTTTTTGAGTAGAAAGTTTACTGGCAAGGCATTTATGTATTTTTAACATATTTTATTACATAGTTGTCACATGATTAATAGTATCTGTTGAAAATGATCACTTACAGTAATTCAGGACAGTTAAGTTTGTTGGGTGTCTTGAAATTGATTGCCTGGGTATACTGGGAAACAAACTTGCTCAGTCTTATCCACTCTCCCAGAAAACCACTGCTAACTTTTGCAGTAATGTGTATCTCTCTTACCGTGGAGTACATTGAATCATTCAGTATTTATTCATGGTACAATTATAAGCTTATAAATTGGCATTAACCAAAATATCGTTTATCTCTCTTTTCTTGGCAACTGTATTCTATTGAAAAAATTCTGACAACAAATGATCAAAATAATCATCACATGTTGTAATAAATTAAGAGTCCTTTATTTTTATAGTGTTTTTTTAAATTTGGAATTATCCTTTAACATATTAAAAATAGTTCATAGATAAAATTCTTAGAATATGACAAGAAATGTGTTTATTTGCTCCTGGGGAAGATGCAAGGGAAGTTTAGAGTCATGAAATTGGATTAAATCAGCCAGGCAAGGATTTTGAAAAAGGGAAGATGCTAAAACTCCAGAGTCATTCCTAGAAGTAGAAAGAAAAAGAAAGAGAAATGACAAAGCAGAGTTGGAAACAATGGAGAGTAAAATAGGAAGAAAACCACAAGTGTGGTTGTGGAAGGCTTGTGAACATTCATGAACATTACACAGATTGGGTCAAGTGAAGCAAGTATTGAAAATATTTAGTTTTCATGATGAACAAGAACGATTCTATAGGGATGGTGGTTACTAATACCTGATTAACATTTAGGAAAAGTTGAGAAGAGTAAGCACAGACAAGATGAGTGTGTAAGATTCACCAACTGGATTCTATGGCACTTTGCAGATAATGAGCTATTCATTTTTTAATATTACAAAAAATGACTTTTGTACCCCTGAACGTAGGTCTTTTTTTATGTCTTAGTAATAATTCTTATTACATCTTCTGTTTTCAAGTTCATCATATGCATTTGAAACATTTTTGCATTAAATACCATAGGAATTATTTCATTGCTGGCTGAAAACAAAGAAGAGACGCTGTTATTATGTTTTCAGCAAGTTGAGCCCTTGCTGAGGGCATCTGTGTCAGAGCACTGGCTTGATTTCCAGCTGCTCCAATCTGATACAGCTCTTTGTTAACATTCCTGGGAAAGCAGAGGAAGATGGACCAGGAACATGACTCCCCATCACCCACATGGAGACCAGAGAGCATCTTCAGACACCTGGCTTTGATGTAGCCAGTTGCCTGCTGTTGCAGCCATCTGGGGGATTGAACCATCAAATGGAAGATGCCTCTTTCTCTCTCTCTGTCACTCTACTTTCCATATAAATCAATAAATCAATTTTTAAAGGAACTAACAGGAAAAAAATGTTATTCTACATTCTCAGTCCTTTTTTGTCAGGACTGAGAAAATACCAATATTTCTTTATTTAAAAAAATGAAAAATAGTGTTTTGCTGCTTTAAATATTTTGGCTCCAATGCATTTTATATGTATTTTTATGTTTGCCCGGACTTACTTCAAATAAAACGTTGCTTTTTATTTCTCTGTTCATTCACTTTAAGCATTTTTAAAAAATTTGTTTATTTGAAAGTTAAAAGAACAGGGAGGGGAGGAGAAACCAATAACTCCAACAATGAAAGCTCTAACTTCCTGACCCTGTCACCTCCCAAAGTCTTTGCATGTTTGTACAGTCACTTTGCATGGTAAGCTTTCAGCAGATGCATTTCACTAATATACAGACATTGACATTTTAATGTGGAATAGGAAGAGAAGAAAAGGAGGGAAAATGTTTAGTATTTTTAAATTGGATTGGAATTCCTTTTCTGTGTCTCTTAAAACTTACCAGCAATTAACTCAGCTGCTTTTTTCTTCATGCTATTTTTTCTTTCTCAGATGTATATTTACAGTTAAAAATTTGTGTATAGTTAAAATCCTTATTGTACACAGTAGTGGCAATTTACTGCATTTTTCACTTACGTATACACACATTTTGAGGAAAGCACAGTAAGCATTTGATTGACCCTCTCTTTACTTCCATGTATCATTTATATTTCTTAGTGTATTTGTAGAGATCTTTCTGTGATGCCCAGTTATAGTGGGCTTCCACATAGAACATGGAAAGTGACATAAATCAGAAAGGAAAGAGTTGTGATGGTGAAAGCATCATGATTACCTAAAATCTGGATATATGAAATAGTTGTATTGTTATCACCTTATTTTAAGACAAAACCACCAGCCATCATGCTTAAACTCACATTTGTTTGTTTTCCATTTTCAGGCTGAACAGGATAATGGCCATCCCCTTCCTGCATTTGCCAGTCTGCATATTGAAATATTGGATGAAAACAATCAGAGTCCATACTTCACAATGCCCAGCTATCAAGGTTATATCCTGGAGTCTGCCCCCGTGGGAGCAACCATTTCTGACAATCTAAATTTGACCACTCCTCTAAGAATTATAGCTCTGGACAAGGACATAGAAGATGTAAGTTAAATATGCACTTTGGTATTAGTTGGTTAACATATGCTCTACATTCAAGTAAATAAGAAATGTTTACAAAGTTAATGAGCAATTGTTAAGTCAGGGCAAAAAATTGCTACTACTACACTGCATGGTGAAGGGACTGCAGTTCACAATAAATGTATATTTTATGAGCAAATAGAACAAAGAAGCACCAAGATTCCCAATCACAAAGTAGTGTCAAAGAAGAGAAAATATGGATTAAGAGTACACATTGTATACAGCTACTGAAATGTTGCTTTGCAGTATAAATATTTGTGTCTAAAAAAATGTGGCTACATGACTACAGAACAAAAAACCCATAGGATAAAACATAGTATTATGATCTCAGACTATCAGGAATATTTTTAAATAGTATGTTTAAATTTTTAAAATCATTTTTAGCTTTCACATACTCAGCAAATGCAAGTTTCGCTTCAGGTTTTCTATGAATATGGACTGAAATCTTACATAATTGCGGTTAGGGAAAAATGATGCTGTTACTAAACAAGTATAAAGGTCTCGAAGACAACTCTAGATTGTAATTTGGGGAGAATTTTTCTTTATTCTAAAAATATTTTGTAAATAACAACAACATGTAGACAGCTATGAAAGCAGCTCACCAACTTCCTTCTCACTTCTGCCACTGCAAATGTTGTTGCCAGCACCCCACTCCATCTATTCATTGTCCCCCCTCTTTTTTGTGGTATTGGTAACATTCCAAAAAAAGTAGGAATCACTCAGGTTGGACACATTGGAGTATTTTATCTGCTGAGCCAAAGTGATTGGAACGAAGACTGGACAGAAAATCTATCATAGGTCAGCCATATTCCTTCCATGAAATGACAGAAAGAAAATTGGGGGGAGGAGGGTTTAAAAAATTAGTACTATGTACTAGAAAAGTTGAAATTAACCTGAAATTTTTCTAGCCAAATTCACTGACGTCATGGATAAAGCTCACAGCCAATGAAGTGGAAGAGAAGAAAGTTTTATAAACATATGCGGAGAGATCTTTTGTGTCCCTGAATTATTAATGAAGATGTCCTTTGATTCCATGAATTACCACAATATTTCATTACCACTGACATTCCGTAGCTTTTCTATTCTCTATGGTCATGCATAGCAATTGATTACTTTAATGTGACTGAACTGACAAAAACTTTTGATTTTTGTTTATATTGTAAAGAAACGTTGTTTACTTTCTTTGTAGGTAATCTGAGAGTTACAGAACAAGTGAGAGAAAGAGACAGAGGCAGACAGAAAGGCAAAGATTAATTTCCCAGTGTGTTAACTCCCCAGATAGCCTTAATGTCCGGCACTGGGCCAAGGCACTCAATGCCAGTCTCCCCTGTGGGTGGCAGGCACCATATGTTAGGCCATCATCACTGTATGGTCAGGAAGCTGGAGTCAGGATGAGGAAGTGGTAAGCAACGCCAAGCATTTCACTGTTCAAGTGCTTGGACCATGTTTGTTGAATTTTGTCAATTGTTAGTATATTTGATTTTTCCTATTTGGACAACACAGCTCAGAATATTATTATTTCTGACAAAAAGAAAAAACAATGTGACCCTCACTAGAGCTATGGCAACTCTTGTAGGCAGTTGCACCTGTTCCATCCAGATGTTTTACTTGGCTCTCTGTATTCTGTCTTCTTCTGTTTTTTTTTTTCTTGTTTTTTTTTCCTTCTCAGATTCTCCCACATTATTTCATGTGAGATCAAAAGCTTTAACAATAGTCAACTATTGTTAAATACTTAGCACATGCCAAGAAATATAATAATTGTTTTTGTCTCATATTCATTTTCTTGGATCTCTCCAAATTCCTTTGCCTTAATCTTTCCATTGAATTTAAATCTTTGAGGATAAGCCCTGATTCTTAGTAACATACATTCTAAAGATCCAACACAGTCCCCAGCCTTTAATGGATTTTAATAATCCTTCAATGAGCTAATACATTTGGGCACTATTGAAGAAATGAGGACATCAAATATATGCTTAAAAACTGTAGTGATAACTGAGTAACTGATTCATGGTATGGCTCATTCCTTAGTTGGATAACTGAAATTCTTGGAATCCTTTCCATCATACTGATATAAAAACAATCTTCTTTGACTTTTTCTATTGTACTTTAAATCTTTTGTTTGCAAGAGCCCAAGAAATGAATCTATGAAACAGTCATTAATAATCCTGAAGACACATTTATGTCCTTTGAGTCATTTTTATCTCTGTCAAAAAAAGATCTGTATGGTTATAAAGTCAATTAGTTCACTGCTCTGTTTTTAAATAATGTATTTATTAGCATTTATTTGAATATTACAGAAACAGAGCCGTGAGTGGAGAGAATTCACTCTTCTACTAAATCACTTCCTAAATACTTAAAACAGCCAAAACTGGGCTGGGACAAAATCATCACTCAAAATTCAGTTTAGGTCTCTCATATATAAGGTGGGAAATGAAGTGTTTGGCCCATTGCCTGCTATTTCCCTGAGGACCAGGGAGCTGGATCAGACGCACAGTAGTGGCACTTGAAGATGGCACCATGCTATAGAATGCAGTTATCCAAAAGGCAGTTCACATGCTATACCAGGATTTGTAAAGATCTGTGTTAACCGATGTTTTTAGTTTAGAGGCTAGATTTTACTAGGTAATACAAATCTTGTTTATTTGAAAGTATTCAAAGGGGTAAACAGTTTGAGATAGTGGCATGTTAGGTCACACATTGTCACCTTTAGAAAAGGAGGTTAAACCCCTGCAGCAAAGAGAAGTTGCTGCTCAAGGGTAAGTTCTTACGGCTTTTCTGAAATAAAGTCGAGAGTGAAACATAGTTGGATCCACTTAACTAAAAATTAGGCAGTGTTTGTCTCTTTTAATTAATTGAGCAATAAGCCAAAGTTTAACAAATAGTAACAAGGATAGGATGTGATTGACAATGTGGAATTTAAGAATTCTAAGGTCACAGTGAAAGTGACAACAAAAGAAAATCAAAGTACGTGTACTTAAGATATCTTCTAATTGTTAGACATATATGTGTGCATACACATTATTTTCATGTATGTTACATTTATGTATTTAAAGTACTTGTACCAAATAGAGTTTCAAGGTAGACCACAGCACAAGCAGAATGTGTAATGCTCAAGGGTTTGAGGAACTTTGTCTGAGCTCTTCAAAATGTGAATGTCAGAGCAACTAAAAATTATGGAATTCTGATGATGCAAAAGGAATAAAAATGAACCTGATTTGCACATTCAGCTTGTAAAGAGTCAATGATTCATTTATAATTTCATGCAAATTGATTTCCTCAATAAAATGTATTGATTCAAGGTGTTATTGAAATTTAATTTTCCTTTGAAGGTATTAAGTGTTTAATTGATTTGTAAACATTATTTAATCATATGTGTGTAGCTACTAAGATAAACATTAGCATATATATTTTGGGAAATTTATTCAGTTAAATGTACTGGGATATTTCCCTTTATGTTATTGTGTGTTCGTGTGGTATATATCTGTTGTGACCATTTACACTCAGTATTATTTCATGTTTAATTTGCATATAGGTTCCGCCTGGTGGAGTTCCTGTAGGTACCAGGTGTTTGTTCTGTGATTTTTTTTTTCTTTTGCTGTGGAGTTTTCCTTTGATCTTGTCCTTATCTGTTAAAACTTTATATCAGTTATAATTTCATTTATTAACTGCTTTAAAACATCCACATGTACTTGCAACATATTGTTGGCTACAATAGTATGAAATTTCTTAGAAGCCACATTATGTTCTTAACCTAGACACCATCTTAAAATATTAATACTCTCAAAGTCTATGACAAATATTATTTAGTCACAGGTGACTTTTCTAACAGATTTCTTACTTGGAGTTGCATCTTTTGAGGTAGAGACTAGAGACAACTAATTAATTGATTGAAATTGCTTGATGGATTCTGTCACTTTCATGCTGTACTTTGTCATTTATATTTTTGAAATTATGCATGTATATACTTGCATATACCTACCTATGTTCTATGTATGTATATATAAGCATGCATATAATCTTGTGTGTGTGGTATTATAATTGATTTGCACTAGAAAGCTAAATTCATTTAAACACAATAAGTTATATTTAACAGTTTTATGTGTTTATATGTGTTTATGTATTTACATGTTTGCTGATGATTGAGCCTTTTTCATTGTATTCCTGTTTTCTGTTCTTACATGAGTGGCTCTGAGTTTTACTCTTCTGCAAATCTCATGTGTAATGAATGCAGTAATGTTAACATTAAATGCACTTTAGGATAAATGTATATTTATATAAGGTGGGAAAATGATGTTAATCAGCTGTCATTGTTCACAGACTAGGATTCATTGAGACAAGCTCACAAATATTACTACTTAAAATTTACTTTTGATACTGGAACACTAAATTGCAACATAATTTGTCCATTTACATATGAATTCATGAAAATTATGAACATACAACACTTCCATGGTCAAAAGTAATATGAAATACAAATTTTGACAGAACCACATTAATATGGAATTTATAATTTTGGTGAACTCCAAATACTAGGAATGGGGCCTGAAGAATAAAAATTAAGTTGAGAAACAAATTAATGGATATCTAGGTATATGCACATTCCACATATTTTCATGTTGTTCCTTTTCAAATTTTGGTATACCTGGAGCTGTTGCCAGTCATGTGCAGTAAAATCTTTATATAAAAGCACATATTAAAAATAAGTGTTGGTGTTTACTTGTATCCATTGAAATCTGGTGGTAGCATTAGAGGAAACACTTTTTGTTGTTCTTTTTTTGTGAGAGCTTTGCAAATATATATGATCTTCTCTCAATTTCCTCATTCTTTGAAATTTCAAAGAAATCTCTTTAAGTGTACATAACTTTCCCTAGACTCTTTCATCAATCCCAAGTGCCAAATCCATAAACACGTATTTTTAAGCATGTCACCTAAAATATCTGAACTTGAATATTAATTTTTTCTTCAGCAAATCTTTATAAAGTTAACGTAAAAGAGAAAGCATGGTGTTAATGAGTAGTACATAACCAGCTTTATTTCTACTTTATATATAGGTGAGAAAAAGGTTTTAATATGCATGTGTGCATATTAATGAAGATGTTAACATTTTACAAGTTGTGTCTCAGTTTTTTCCTTTTATTTCTCATTATTTGAATCCGATGTAGTTCTGAAAAAAATACTAATTTGCAGTAATTGGGAGGAAGATATTGCATTGATTTGTGTTCTCCCAGTATTTTCCCTCTAACATTAATTCTGCCTGTATGTAGAATTTTGTGTTCCGCAATGCAAGATTCCTATCTTTTGGATTGTTTATTGTGTGAATCAGTAAATTTCAAACTGGGTTTCATTTTTCTTCCAAATGCTTAATACTGTAATGTGGTTTTTATTGTAGATGTCAAAACTTAAGGAATGAACTGATGGAAGCATTATTAATTGCACATGTTAAGTAGTGTCATTTCTTTCACAGACGAAAGACCCAGAGCTTCACCTTTTTCTAAATGATTACACCTCAGTGTTCACCATAACACAGACTGGAATTATTCGCTACCTCACTTTACTTCAGCCAGTGGACAGGGAAGAACAGCAAACCTACACCTTTTCGGTAAAGACAGTTCATATATGTGGATAGATATAATTAAAAGACATATCTCTTTCCAACTCATAAGTCCATTAATTTGAGCAAAGTAGCATCATTTTCAAGTAGTATTAGAGAAAATACAATAACCAGAAGCTCCTTAAATGTAACTACCCTATTTTTCTTTCTCAGTTTTTGAACTTGTATTGTCTTCCATAGGGAAAATACTTTTCAGAATTAAACAAATAAATCAAAATTGTACTCTTTGTCATATATTCATAACTATCTCAAACGGAAGTATATAGTAGAATACATGATTTTTTTTTTTTAGAAATTTTCCTGATGTTCGCTGTTAGTTAGGCCAGTGAGTCTCAGTTGAGAATAATGAGTGATTCCCTCTAGAAAACATTTTGCACTGACTGTTGGCATGTTTGATTATCACAACTGTGAGGGCTGCTATTGGCATCTGATGTGAAAATGGCCCAAGTACATGTCTTAGAACACACAGTTCATGATGCCCCAGCAGCAAAGAACCAAAAGGAGATGGTTGAAATTGTGTTTTGTATTTGTACTTACTTGGAAGAGACAGGGAGATAAGGAGGTTTTCCATCCTTTGGCTTACCTTATGGTGGTCCACAACAGCAATGGCTCTCCCTGGGGGAAGCTGGGAGCCAGGAATGCAGTGCATGTGGCAAGGTTTCAAAGACTCTAGCCATCTAAAGGACATGTTGCAGGATATTTAGTGTGAGAAACTAGATCTCAAGAAAGTGCAACTGGATTCTAGTTCCCTCAACACAGGGTGTGGGCACTCCAAGTGTGCCAGCCTAACTCATTGCATCACCATGCGAGCATTGAGACTGAGATATCTTGAGTTAAGCAAAATAAATGGGGAGGGGATGACATTAATTAATATTGTGACTGAATATTTATTAAAGTGTATATAAAAGTAGAAGGTAAATGTAGAAAAAGAAAAGCCTTGTTTCTAAATTATTGAAATTAAATTACAAGGGAAGGATGCATGCAGGGGTACAAGCTGAATTATTTATTAAAAAAAAAAACTGGCTCTGGAAAAGGCTACATGGGAAAGGCTATCATTTCCAATAAATCTCACATGAATATAACACTGAAGTCAGTGTGGGATTCAGAAATCATTCATACAGAACTTTATTTTTATTAAATTAACTGTCAGATATTCTTAAAACGTTGATAAAGTGACTAAACAGCAATGTAATCAACATCAATAAGTCTTAAAAATTTCACTTGTAAATTGCTAGAATAAGATATTATGTGTCTATAGAGAACCCATTTAACTTCCAGAAAAAATAGTGACTATAAAAAAAAATGTATTACATGTAAGATATAAAAGTTTGTTAACTTCTATAATTTTAAGAATTACATCATAATTATTGGGAATTAAGAATGGTAATGACCAATTTTAACCTCCTAAGGTGTTCTACAGATCTATTTAAATTTGCCTACTAATGCATGTATTAAAATAGAGAATTCTCAATAATTATTTCTTAGCTCAATAATTATTTCTTATTAAAACATTTCTGAATATATGTAGTACACTTTTAGTGCTTGTTTTATTGACAGAACATCTTAGAACTCTTACTATAATAAATCACATACTAGAAACCTTTTAGAGTGTAAGATTGAATTCTGTATTATTGATACTTGTATGCCTTCAGTACTAAGTCTATTTTTCTATCCTAAAAGATAACAGCTTTCGATGGTGTGCAAGAAAGTGCTCCGGTTGTTGTCAACATTCGAGTGATGGATGCAAATGATAACACTCCCACCTTCCCTGAGATATCTTATGATGTCTACGTTTACACAGACATGAGCCCTGGGGACAGTGTCATACAGGTAACTATTCCCTAATATAAGAACAAAGTCAGATGAGTTATTTCCATGGGCATAACAAAATGTATTATTTAAAAAATTTATTAAAGAAGTTATTAATTTTTTTTTACTTTTTCCATACAATAATCCAGTTTAAATGCTTTAAAATTAGGTTTAGTTTTCAAATAAAAGCGTATACTTATGCCAAAGTTGACTATTGCCAGATGTAAATAGTTATTTCAGCTATTCATACTTTAAAATAATCTTAATATATTAGATAGATTATCTTCAACATGGAGTTTAAAGACTCCTATCATTTTGCTTAGTTCTTTGTTGATAAATACCAAAGACTACATTAATAAAATCGTGCTAACTCCTATAAGTTGGCTACCTAAATGAAATGAAATATTACCAGTAGGGAAAATTTAGGCAATATAGCAAAGTATTACTGTAGGAAAACATACCAATGAGACTGAAATTTAACCTTCATTAGTCTTAATTTAAATTATTATTTGCATTTACTACATTGAAATATACTGTAAGCTGCCTCAAAATATGTTTTGTGCTCTGGTGATTCTGTGGATATGTCACAAAGATGTAATTTTTTATGCGGATATTTGGAAATATGAAAAGTACTTGACTCCATTACTTTCCACACTGATTGTTTATGCAAATACCTAGGCAGCTGTTTAGAAAAACACTGCAAAGATTTAATTCAGCTTTTTCAATATCAGTTACCATGTTCACTTGCAATGTTTACTGGCAGAAATATATTAACAAACCCTGAAGATTTCACATGCCAGCCACATAGAGAGCTGATTTAGATTTTTTTCTAACCTTGAGAATCAGGACAGGAATTCCAGGATATTCCCTATTTTTGTAGAAAATTGAAATAGCCACAAATTATAGCTAATGATATCTGTATACTATATGCTAAGTAATGCTAATTAAAAGTACATGTGTAATTATGGTAGATAGTACGGAGCCTTTAAAAAGCAGTTCCAATCCTTCTGCAATGGACTACAGCCTTCCTGTTGGTATTGTCTCTGCAGCTCTATCATTGGCTGTCCTTTTTTTTTTTTTTTTTTTTTTTTTTTTTGCCTCTGTCCCACTAAAGTACCTTTAGGCACCTGAAAATAGCTCTATATTCAATTTACTTACTTCCTCCGCCTCAATATTTCCCAATATTTCCCTCCTCCTTTTTTTTGGGGGGGGTATAAGATTGTTTTCCTTCTTTGAAAGCAGCATAGTTTCAGTTTTTGAAGGTAATTTTTAGCAAATCTTCCTGAATAGTTCCTGAAATTGCACTACAGTAGATAAATAGCCAGTTGTAACCAAAAAAACCGAGTGAAGAACCTTAACTGATATCTTGCTGTCAGCAGCCAGTTATCACATTTGCATACTACATGGATGCAAACATACATGAGTCCTGTCCGTGTAGCATAGTTCCTGTCATCAGTTCACTGATCCTCTGACTCTCAGAACTTAGGGTATTTTCTTAACCCCCAACTTAAAATTCCAAGAAGTGAGAACATTGTGCATTGCTTGTGTGTATTGCCCCTCGCTATAATGCCAGCTCCTGCCAGATAGATTAACCATGTGCAACATATATACACAAATTGCAAAAACAAACCACCTTACATCATTTGCAGTTGTGAGCTATAAATAATTCAGTGCTATCCATGTTTAATTTGTGAATCAAGGCATTCTTTCTTGAACTTTCCAGAAAGATATGTGATAGCATATAAATAATGCAATCACCTTAATGTTCACCCCATGTCTGAATATCCCGTGTATTAATGTGAGCGAATATTTTTAAGTTGCCACCCTAAATACCAGCCATAGATGGTTATGGCATTGGTCATATTGGTTAACTTAATTTTACTGCCCACTTTTTGATGGCAGAATTAAATTATTTCATTTCTAGCTTCATAGTATCTACATCTGTAGATTCTGGCATGTTAGATATGCTTACTATATTAGATTCCTAATAAATATTTGAAGTTGCAAGGAAGCGGAGTACCTATACAGTAAGTACTACTGAGTGAATACATGTGTAGAAGATGCATTGTTAATGCATTGCTTTTATTTTCTAGTCAATTGATGGAACTAGAGAGCCACATTATTTATTGATCCTACTTTTTCATAATTAGTAAAATTACAGTTTATACAGGCAAAGATGTAACTTTTGTCTTCATGGGATGTTGCCTATATCTGATACAGTGTAAGCAGAAGTAATTATATAGAAAAATATCCAGCAAGAAACTACAGAAACTGTTCCAGATCTGCCTCTAAACATGTTTGTCCTGAGGTAGATTCAAAGTGATTTCTGCCATTGAATGTGTTTAATCAAACAGGGCTTTCTCTTTCTTTTAAAGATCCGCATTTTATATATATTTCTCAGGGACATTCAGTTTATGAAGAAATACCATTTTTAGTGTTTATTTCCCTACCTCTTTAAATGATTTTAATGGCAAGAATTCAAGTCCTATAGTTAGTAGTTTTAATGTTATTTCTTGTATGTGGTAGAAGAATACTGTGGCTATAAAATACTCTCCAAGAGTCTAGAAACTGACAATTTTTTCACATGAGGGGGAAAAATTAAAATAAACAAAAAAACATGATTCATAACTGTGATCTGCAAAATTCCCATGCAGAATATGGCTTTTGCTTTTCTGCTCCACCCACTTCCAACCTCCATCAACTCTGCCTTGACTGGCTAGAAAGTGAATTGCCAGTTCTTGAACCTGATATCCAGTCCTAATTCTCATTCATATAAGAATCCCGAAGTGTTAACCTTTTTCAGATAGGTGGGGCAGATTATCCATTCCTTGACTATGTTGACTTTTCTGTCATTGTCTGGCTCTGATTTGGGGGAAGCTCCTACTGCCCATGTTTAGCATTGCTCCTTGATATTTACAACACCTCCTAAATTGGTACCTGTTTCAAGTTAATTCTCCTCCAGCTTACCCTCCCTTCTTATGACATTGATGAAGGCGTTAACTAAGTCAAGCCACAGTGCCTCCATCCCTGAAGCACAGGCCTCAATACTCACTCTTAACTCATCCCCTTCTATCATTAAATTCCTCTAAGCAGTTTAAGTCTCAGGAAAAATGTTAATATGAATCCAATTTGAGTGCAATTTTAATTAAGCTCTTGTGAGACATTTTATTTAAGTGATTTACTAAAATCAGAATTGCTATCTCCTCTGCTATTCCCATTCTCTAATTTTCTAATTTTATTTACACACAAAACAAAATGAGTTTGTCCGGCGTGAATAGTCCTGCATAAATATGAATCATTCATTCTGACTGTTCCTGCAAATACTTTGCTTCTCCTTTGCCTTTAGAACTGTGTCTGCTATGTTTGTTGTGTAAGTCCCAGAACTATTTCCTGAAATGGCTTTCCTTGGGGCAACCACAGCTGTCCATCTTCAACTCCACCATCTCAGGACTTACACACTAATGCCAGTCTCACAGATGTTCTTTTCTCTTCCCAGCTAATGCTGCTACTGATATTTGTATGCACCTTGGTCTCTTTAATGCAGCACATGATAAAAATAGTAAGGTGCACACTGAATCCGCTTAAACCTGATGGGCTGTATAAAGACATTTGTTTACGTATCTTTGTGATAATAAACACAAACTTCTTAAAAGAATCATTTAATTAATACGATGTCCCTGAGATTAAATGGATGTTTCAAAGTAAATGTGCATTATTCACATTTTCTTGAAACGAAAATGTCAAGGTGTTAATGATATTCCAAATGTAGTATCTGAGTTGAAGATGACTGTGACTTGACAGATGAGAAACATGGAGATAAGTAATAAAAAAATGAAATAAACACTGTGTATAATTGGTTACAATTATAGTGTGATCTTTATTCAATGAAAGTATTTAAGTATTTTCTTTCTGTTTTTAAACTGAGGTTGCTTAACCCCATGCATTCCTTTTGGTGTAATAAAAATTAGAATCTCTACACAATGATAATAAAATGTGTATCATAAGATGACTCATTAAAATGATTATTTTAATTAAATTTTCCATGATCATAAAAATTTAATATGACCATCAGTTTGTTATTGCTATGAAATTCATAACAGTTCTTTTCCATAAATAATCCTGGCAGTATGTATTTTTGCTAGATGCAAGCTACTTCAAAATGGTGATGAAGAGGTGCGTATTTTTGTAGAAATGTTTATATGGTAAAATCTCAGGGTTCCTGAATATGCTTTTCTGAAAGCAGTAATGTACACGCAGGCCCAAAAGTAGATGAGCCAGAGTGATAAAAACAGCAACAACAGCAAAGCAGATAAATGTCCTTGAGGTTTGTTAGATACCCTGTCAAGGTCTTTCTTTTCCCCTATTTGTTAAGTTATAATAACAAAAAGTCTTCACTCTCTCAAAATTTTTGTTCCTACCAGTCTCAGGGAAAAAAAAAAAGATTGAAAAAAAGAAACTTGCCTGTTGTGATTTGGTACTATATCAGAACATTGTAGCTTCCTGTTTCAGGAAACACGCATCTATGTGCCCAGAGAACTTCTTTTACTTGTGTTTTGTCTTTGAAAGCGAACTCTTTTTCGTTGTTGGGAGGGAAAAGAAAAATAACACGATGATAAAATGTTAAGTCCCAAGGGGATTTATGTTGTGATTTTCAATTCCAGCTCACTGCAGTGGACGCAGACGAAGGGTCAAATGGGGAGATCACATATGAAATCCTGGCTGGGGCTCAGGGAGACTTCGTCATCAATAAAACAACAGGGCTTATCACCATCGCTCCGGGGGTGGAATTGATAGTCGGGCGGACTTACGCGCTTACTGTCCAAGCAGCGGACAATGCTCCTCCAGCAGAGAGAAGGTAATTTATGTTAGAACGAATGCAGTCTTTTCCTTGCTCCCGTTTAACCTTATAATTAAGTTTACAAAGAGCAGCAAGCATTCTTTTCTCGTATAAACATCCAAATTAGATCAGAAAATCAAAGAGACCGGATTCTCAGGAACTGGGTATTGTTATTTGGTTAAATCGTGGGAAAAGGATAATAAAGACAAGATTAAACCACAAAATAATTAACAATGATTTCACAGATGGAGAAAGATGCAGGTTTCTGTTCTAGCAGAGGTACTGGGTAATATCACACATGGTTCCGATTTATTACTGGAAAAGCAAGGTTGTTGAGGCTGAGAGGAGGCCACAGATATGAGTAGTATACAATGTCTCAGGAGTTTTCTTCTTAATGTATGAGTACTTACTGAAATATCTTTGTAACATTAGAGATGTTGTAGTATTTCTCCTGCATCTACATAACCACCCTGAAAGCTCTTTCATTAATTAGCTTTTATTTCAAGATGGTCAGTGTGCAATACAAGAAAATGTGAGTGAATGTGAGTATGTGTTTTGCCCTTCAAAATATGTATATTTTTCACTGCTCTAAGATTTCCTCATGCGTTTATACTATGTACTAAGTACACTATCAGTAGTGTTTTAAATTTCAGTCTTTTACACATAGTGAAGAAAATAAATAGCATGGAATATGCATCGCCTTGAGTATGTGAAATATGTAAATAGAACCAATTCTCACAGAGATTTCCATATATGATTGTGAATTTGTTACTTAAGGTGTTATTAGATGCTTTTGATGCTCATTCTTTCTAACCAAGCATATCTGTTTCTTCATTGCTTTATTGCTTGTCTTTGATGAGTATAAACTTTTTCTTTACATAACTCTTGCATTTGTGTGTTTCTTGTAAGTAGACATTTTGCTTCCTTTTAACTTCTGAAAGTTGACATGTAGACATGAAAAAGTTATCAATGTCTTTATATTTAACCCATTTTCTTCTAATTCCCATATCAATTTATAATCTGTGGTTGACTCTTCTACATTATTAAGAATATATTTTTAAAAAACAATGATTTTATGTATTTCTTCCTGTTTTCTTTCACTTAATTTCATTTAGCAGTAATTCTCATGAAAATGTTTGTCCCCTTTTTGACATAAGTGACAATATAACCAGGCTTTTCCAGTATATTTGCTATAGTTTTAAAAGAAATATATTCTATCTTGTGTAAAAGTCATTTCATTGTCCAGTAATCAGTTAATGGGCATCTTAAACTGATCCCATACCTTTGTAATTATGAACTGGGATATTATAAATGTGAGAGTATGGGTATTTCTCTCATATGCCAGAGCATGGTAGCTCGGTCATATGGTAAATATACTAATAGTTTTCTAAGGATTCTCCATAATGTGATCTATAATTTTTGTATTAATCTTCACTCCCACTATTTATTAGCATATGATTTTGCCCACAACCTCTCCAGCATTTGTTGTCTTTAAGTTTTTGAATAATAGCCACCATAAGTGCAATGGGATGATGAGACATTACTGATTTAACTTCTATATCCCTGATGTTCGTGATCTTCAGAATTTATTCATGTGTCACCTAGGCATTCCACTTCTTCCTCTAAAAAGTATCCATTTAAATATTTTGCCCATTAATTGAATTGTATTTTTTAGTTTCTTGAAATCTTCATCATCTTTCTCAGTTGCAGAATTTACAAATATTTGATTCCATTTTGGCAGTTACCTCTTTACTTGGTTGTTTCTTTGCTGTGTAAAAAATCTTAGCTGGATATAATTCTGTTTGTCAATTTTCCATGTTATTCCTCGTGCATTTAGTATCTCACCGTAAAAGTCTGTCTAAGCCAAGATCTTGAAATGTTGGCCCTGTTTTCCTTAAATTGTTTCATAGTTCATGTCTGAAGTTCAGATACTTGATCAATTTTGAGTTAATTGTTGTATATTGGGTAATTCCAGTTCCTACATATGGAAACTAAATTTTCTCTACACTTTTGTTGAAGAGGCTGTTTTTATTTCTAGGGTTTCCATTCTGTTCCATTGGTCTACATGGCTGTGCTTATGGCAACACATCATTCATTTTCAGCTGTAATATAGCCCTGTAATATGTATTGAAATCTGGTTTCTGATGGCTCAGACTTTTTTTTTTTATTGTTTTAGGTTACATTAACTATCTAGAAATCTTTTGTTTCAATATGAACTTTAGGATTTTTTTCTATTTATGTAAAGAATCTCATTAGAATTTTGATGAGTATTGAATATATAAATTGCTCAGGTTAGTGTGAATACCTAAGTGATGGTAATTTTGCCTTCATACTATGGGAGATGTTTTTTTCTGTTTTTAGAATTTCTCTTTTTCCTCATAAAATTATATACTTTTGATTTTAGACATCCTTCATGTTTTTTAGTTATATTTATCCCAAAATATGCACAGGTGGTTTGTTTGTTTTTTGATAGCTACTGTGTTTTTGATGGGTTTTATGTGGTCCTTTTCAGGAAGATTGTTTTTAGTATATAAGTATGCTTTTGATTTTTTGGTTGCTTTTCTATCTTGATACTTGTACATCCTCTTGTTAGTTCTAATAGACTAGTGGATTCTTTTGGTTCCCTTGTAAAAAGAATCATGTCATCATGAAAACAGAAATGGCTTGACTTCCTTATTTCCAATTGATAACTCCTTAATTTTCTTTTTTTCTTTTGCCTAGTGGGTCTAGGTAAAGTTTCCAGAATTGCCCTGGATAAAGTATGAAACTGGACATCTTTGTCTGGTTTCAGATATTAGTGGAGGTTTTTTCAGCTTTTCCATATTCAATAGAATATCAATACATGTCAAAAAAGTAGCTTTTATAATGTTGAGATACATTCCTCCTCTATGTAATCTCTACGGTTTTTACCATAGAAAGATGATGTATTTTTATTAAATGCTAGCTTTCCATCTGTTGATATGATCATATAATTTGTATCCATGTTGTTGACATGGTGTGTCAGTTTTTTTTTTTAATTGCATTTGGTGGACTGTGTCTGCAGCCCTGCAACCCTGGGCTGAAATTATAACATTTTATATGAGATGGATAGAACTGGAGATCATTATGCTAAGTGAATGAAGCCGCACAAAGACAAGTATCACAAGCTTTCTTTTACATGTGTCAAGTTATTAAATAATTTGTCTTCTCAGATGATAGTAGTTTAAAATATAGGCTAAGCATATAACTGTAGAAAGTGTTGATGAAAGCATGAAATGTACAATAGTATGAAGCATAATAAACAGGGAACTAGTGAGCCTCAACAGATATGAAATTATGTATCTAGTATGAATTGTTGCTGAAAATTAAATATATTTTTTGCCAAAGCCATTATGCTGATTAAAAATTGATCATTTTAACAACAACAACAACAAAAAATTTTTATTCTAGGAAAATTTTCCTCTTTCCATTTATTAACTTTTTAAAGTAAGAATGGAAAAAAAAAATAACATTTTTGCCAGGCCAAACAAATATACACACATAGAAAATAACGCCATTTATGAGCTAATGATATGATAATTGATCTTGAAAAGTGCTTCTAAATGATATTTTGCATCTCTATTATAAATCTGAGTAAATAAGGACGCTTTGCTTTTAAGATAAACTGCTGGAATATTACTGTTTAATTTGTTGGTTAAAATGAATCTTAATTTGTCATTTTGATTAATGTCAAAATTTTATATAGATTCAATAGCTCTTAAAACAAACATAAGATGTGAGGAAACAAAAAAGATTTAATCATTGAAGCAGCAGGTATGAGTAAGCCAAACATTTCTAGAGGTAGTGTATAAATTCAGTTTTGGTTCTCATAAAAAAATATCAAGCATTCACAGAAGTACAATTAAATAGATGTCATTAGCTAAATAATTTAAAAATTGCAAGAACTTTATGAAGTAAATCTAAAGACAGAAGAGATTGATTCCATCAAAGGATGTGAACTTGTTTAAAATATATAAAAATTCAAAGATATAAATGTGTCTGTAACCTTTTAAGAAGTGACATAACCTCAAATTTGAGGCAAGAAAATACTTTTTTTTTTAATTCTTTGGGTTTATTTGAAAGGCAGAGGAAAAAATATTCTACCTGCTGATTTATTTCCTGTATTTTACAACTGAATCAGGTGAATCAAGCCAGTGCCAGCAACCTAGAATGCAATCCTGTCTTCCACAGAGATGTTGGGATGAAGTATTTGAACTCTTTGTGTGTGCTTTGGCAGTGGCATTAGTCAGAGCTTGGATTGAAAGTGAACTACCCAGAACTCAAGCCAGTGTTCCACCAACCCGTTACAGGATGTAGTCAACACAGGTGGCTGCTTAACTCTGTGTGTCACAGTACCCATCCCAGGGCTAAAGAAATCCTGGGAGATGAGTCCTAGATAGAATCAAGACAGCTTGGCATCAGAACTATAACATGACTCTAAAAAAATGTATCTCTAAAAAAATGTGTCCACTCAGCAATGAAAGCATAAGTAAACTAGCTGGGTATATATAATGGAATACTTTTGAGACCTGAAAGGATAAAGTTGTTCCCTGCTCAGCAACATGGAGAGAATTGGTGGTCATTATGTTTAATGAAATAAATTGACTACAGAAATACGTGATCTATACATGGAGCTAAAAGGGAAATATAACATGATAGTGGTTGAAAGTATAGTGACTAACAGAAGCTGAAGAGATAAAGTAGAATGAAGGTTAATCACCAGGTAACAAGTTATAGTTAATAGGAGAAGGAAGTTCTCAAATTCTGTTGGACAGTGGAGTGATTAGAAAAAAAAAATGATGATGTATGGGACATTTATCTAGGAAAACAGATGGAAATCTGGATGACTGCATTTGGATGTTTTCACCTTAAAGAAATGTTACCCATTTGAGGATATAGATATACTTATCTTGATTGAGCATTACAGAATATAAAAATGTTGGAAACATCACATGGTAACTCATAAACATGTAATTTTTAAATGTCTGCTTTTTAAAACA